GTTCGTAGCCTGTTGGACGATGCATGTCTGTGTGTCTATGAGTGTGTTCGTTGGGACGATGTATGCCTGTGTGTCTATGGGTGTGTCTGTGTGTCTATGAGTGTGTTCGTAGCCTGTTGGACGATGCATGTCTGTGTGTCTATGAGTGTGTTCGTTGGGACGATGTATGCCTGTGTGTCTATGGGTGTGTCTGTGTGTCTATGAGTGTGTTCGTAGCCTGTTGGACGATGCATGTCTGTGTGTCTATGAGTGTGTCTGTGTGTCTATGAGTCTGTCTGTGTGTTTATGAGTGTGTTCGTTTGGACGATGCATATCTGTACTATATTATGTGTCTATGAATGTGTCTGTATGTCTATGAGTGTGCCAATAGCCTGAGAGACTGTCTGTGTGTCTATGAGTGTGTCTGTGTGTCTATGAGTCTGTCTGTGTGTTTATGAGTGTGTTCGTTTGGACGATGCATATCTGTACTATATTATGTGTCTATGAATGTGTCTGTATGTCTATGAGTGTGCCAATAGCCTGAGAGACGATGCATGTCTGTGTGTCTATGAGTGTGTCTGTGTGTCTATGAGTGTGTTCGTGGACACACTACGTGCATGTGTAGGTGCAAACGTGTTATAAACATATTATAATGGTGGGAGGTTGGCGGATGCTCTGATGTGGTATGCTCCATCTTTCCTATCATATCGTCCTGATCTCTCCTTCTTTTTTGTGTTTGTTACTCTTTTGTAACACTTCTAATCTTCGGCGCTTGTATGACCTTATTGTGGTGCCAAGTGCTGTAAAACTCTTACTAAAACTAAAACGTATAATGATTCGAAATTCGGGGGGCGTGGGGGGGGGGGGGGGATAGGCCAAAGAATATTGTAGTTGCATTCTTATGAGGTCGTGTTCTTTGAGATCATTCCATGCCCCCTTTGACCTGGAAAATAGACACACACAGACACACACACACACACACACACACACACACACACACACAGGGAGAGAGAGAGAGAGAGAGAGAGAGAGAGAGAGAGAGAGAGAGAGAGAGAGAGAGAGAGAGAGATAGATAGATAGATAGATAGATAGATAGATAGATAGATAGACTGGGGGGGGGGGGGGTCGAGATAGTGACCGAGATAGAGATCTAGATCGAGATAAGAGGGAATTTTTCCTTGGCTATACAGGACCGTAAAACACAGGCAGGTATACAGTGGAAACCATACTATTATATAACAGGCCCAGTAATAACAGGGATCCGGTAAAAACAGGGATTTTTAAAATCCCCGTTTTTTTCAACTCATTGGCTCTATTAAAAGTTATCTGCAATAACAGGACCTTATCGGAGCACAATCTGTTATAGCAGGGACAAAGGCTCGCTTACAATGAGTAAAAAGTAAGAGAGAGAGAGAGAGAGAGAGAGAGAGAGAGAGAGAGAGAGAGAGAGAGAAGCGAGAGAGAGTGTGCTGCAGACATCGATCTAACCCAAAGCCTAGCTACACGCACGCGTAATGTGTCATGCGCAGGCCATGGGAAACTACCCATGAATAAACACAGCTGGATTAGTCTACAAATGTTTACTTCCCTTGCATTTCTGATTTTACAGGGATCTGATAAAACAACCTTTTCTCTGGCCCCACCATTCCTGTTGTATCAGGTTTCCAACGTACAGGCTAAAAAAATTAAATATATTACTCTCATTAAAATTCAATATAATGAAAAGAGAAGTAGATCTAAAGCTGATAAAAAGTACATTCTCACCAGATGCATCATTCAACCACATGCAGGAATTTAATTACGACACCTTTGGAGTTTGTTTTGTTTTGTAAAGTGTTTTACGGCGCTCGCAACTGCATAAGGTCATACGGGCGCGCGGGACACACCTAATATTTTCAGTTGGTAGGAAATTTTGAACTTTGCCCGGGTGGCGGCCGAAGCCTACTCTTATCGATTTTAGACCACCAAGGGATCTTTAACGTGCGCAACTTGCACACGGGCCCTCCGAGATTTTTCGCCCTTGTCCGAGAAAGCTAGGTGTAGATCTTTCCTACCAGAAGATCAGGGGTGTGGCTGAAAGACAGCAGTAAGAAGAAGCGAAGGAGTAGCAGTAGAAAGGCTGCAGAAAGAATCAGGAGCCCAGAGGAAGGGGCAAAGGAGGTGAGGGGGTGGGGGAAGAAAGAGGAGACGAAAGCAAACGACAGAACATTGCTAGAGAGCAGGAAATGAGGTGAAAGGAGACAAATTTAGAGAAGAAAATTTTTTGGTCGCTACCCGAATTCGAACCCGGGATCTTTGAATGAGAGGCCAACACCTCAACCTCTAGGCCACGAGAGCCCCCTACCTTTGATATAGCATAATATATGGATACATACTCTAAATAGCAACACACATCTATGCTCATTCTGACAAAAGCCTTATGCAAGATGGTAAAAAACTTCTTTAAATAACATTATATTATTTCTGTCACTATCCAGGTGACTCCTACCGCCCACCAATTTTCCCACATCGCCCACTAGAGGGTGACACTGACCAAGTTGCAAGCTCAGTCTTAGACGTTCAGACATGTTTGTATGTTCCATGGCATCAGTAGGTAATTATTTTTTTTCAGGCAAGACCATACTACCCCCCCCCCCCCCCCCAACATATCCCATGCCATCAGTAGAGAAGGCTACTCGATACCGTGGGCTTATTTATTTTCAGGCATTATCAAACTACCCCCCACCACCACCCCTATCCCATTCCATCTCCCGGCCAGATCCGGCCCTCAAGCTTTTAAAATCTTCTCCCTGAATCGAACAAGAAGAACTTACAGGCCCTGATAGCAATACTAAAATATATTTATTTGTTATTATGAATGTGGTCACTGTTGAGCAGACGGAATTTAAAATTTTCCAATTTTAAAAAAGTCTATTTTGTAAAATAAAACCATTAATTTCCGGTCAGCTGGAAGAAAAAGTTTTTATATTAGGTTATATTATAATCCCATGAAATACCAGTGAGTGATATCTATCGAGCCACTTTTAGCCTCACTTTGAGAGCTTCGTTATTTCAACCTGTTTTATCCCATATGTCTCCTGGTTTGGTCGACGAAATCTAGAATCTTACTTTTACTTGCTTTACCCGTCCTCTTGTACCTCTAGGGCGTTGAGGGGTGAAAGAACTTCCTGTCTCTAGCAAGTTGGATGACCTGGCTGGGAGTGAGGGATATTGTTTGTTTTTAGAATCACTCAATCAAAGTTAATCTGACCAGCGACTTTTATGCACATGCCTATGCCCGGTTTTTATCATAGAAACAAAATTCTTGTGTCGATCCTGACGAGGAGAAGGGCTGAATGAATGAGTTCCATAGTCCAGTCAATATAACATTTTCAGTACTGGTACCAATTTTTGTCTTTAAAGGCCTGTCCCCATGGTTTTATGCACCCCTCTTAGCAAAATTTGAACATTTTAAAAATAATTTCTGATTATTTTCCTTTATCATTCTTATTAAAATCAACAGAATCGCATAATTTCACATTTTTGGGCTCAGTTTGCATAATTTCAGAATTTTTCTTGCATAAAACGACGGGGAAAGATAGGCACACAACACACACACACACAAGGCCCTGAAACCGCCTAAGCAAGTTTAACCATTCATTT